ATTTCAGACAGTTCATTCAAATGATACATTAATAAGGCTTTTATTCATTATATTTTGACAAAATGCAATTTTTGTTAACATTTTGGTCAAAACACTTTATTTGCCTTTTTCTCCATAAACCACTTTTGGACTTAATCCTCGTTTCGATGTGACGGGTCACATATTTTAACGAAACTTGCAGAAAGTCATCACAGCATGACCAGTGTTGTATAAAGTACCTCAAAGTGATACTTGAGTAAAAGTACAAGTATCTTATCATAAAAAATACTTCGGTAAACGTTAAAGTGTCCTCTAAGAATATTACTTGAGTAAAAGTCTTAAAGTATCGGATATTTTTTGTACTCTTAAGAATCAAAACTAAATTTCTGACACAAAATCTACTTAAGTATTAAAAGTAAAAGTACTGAGYATAAGTGAGGACACAGGAAGGATGATTTTTCATCACTAATGATGAATACAGACACAGAAAATCTTGCCTCTGGTTTTACATAAGCTTTACATTTTCCTAGTATAATAATATAAAAAAATATGGACACAGTGAAAATGTACAAATTATTATTTTATTTTATTTTTATTTTCAGGAAGGCAGAAATGATCAATACATCATTTGCAGCTTGTCACCATCCCAAACCAGTCCGTCAGCTCTGCACAGGAACAGATCAGGTGGATAAAGCTTGTTTCAACACGTCCTCAGCACTGAAAGAGGACACGCTCGTAAAATATGAGACGGCTCTAAAACTTACAAGCGTTGTTATGAACTTTCTCTCCTCCAGATGTTTTTACAGAAACCTCCAGGCTTTATTTTTCTGCACTGTTCTGTAAAACAGGACTGTTCTTCCCTCTGGTGTCACAGCAGGGTCAGCTAGTGATGAGAAGAACACCTCAGAACACAACCCGTCTCAGTATCTCAATGAATGAGGCCAAGCTTGTGATGAAATACACACATTTTATTACAGCAGCTGTGGCTTTGCCCCATATTCATCTTCAGTGTCTTTTTCTTCACTCACAGCCTCTACTGCCCTCTAGTGACAACAGAACAGAACATAAATACGTTCACTGTAAACCAGACATGGGCAATCCTGGTCCTGGAGGGCCGCAGCCCTGCATGTTTTACTTGTTTCTCTGCTCCAACACACCTGATATGACTGAACAGATGATTATCAGGCTTCTGCAGTACGGAGGACCAAAACTGACATAATTAGAAATAAAAGCAGAATTATATGAACCACTAAATAAATACACTTAAAATGCACCAATTAAATTAAAAAAGGAGAATTTTATCTCCTGTTTTATATTTTAAATAACTTTCATATTTTATTTTACTGGCCTTTAAACCAACTGAGATTTGATTTTACTCAACTTTTACTGTGT